AAGGTCATTGTACGATGAATATAAACAATATTGTCAAGAGTATGGTTATATGGCAGCTTCTAAACGAACATTCTTGGCAAATGTCAAAAATCTTTTAGACATACAGAACGGCGTATATACAAAGAAAAATTTTTCTGAGTAAATTTAAAAAAAACATTTTTTTATTTTATTTGAAATGTACGCTGAGTTTGTTGGAAAGGACCGTTGGGAAACTTGTTTGTTAGATGAGAAATATGAAATTCACTGTTGTGAGTCATTTGAAGTCAGAAACAAAAAGACAAAAAGAGTTTTAAGCGAATGGGAGCAAAATAACGGATATGCTAGGATGAAGATGGGTGGGAAAAACTATTTAAAACATGTTGTCATTGCAACTCATTTTATACCGAACCCTAACAATCTACCTTTTGTAGACCATATAAACCGTTTAAGAAATGACAATAGACTTGAAAATTTACGTTGGGTTACTCGTTCTGAAAACAGTAAGAACAAAGGCAAATTTGGAGATATTGTATTCGAATTTGTCGACGAACTAGAAGATGAAGCAATTGAAATTACAGACTATGGTAAGCATACGTTTGAGTTTTACTACTATAGCGAAGAACAGGACTCTTTCTACCTTTATACCGGCGTAAACTATAGGAAATTACAAGTATATTTTACTAAGGCGGGCTATGCTTATGTAAACGCTAGAGATACAGATGGAAAATACGTTAAAATACTTCTTAACAAATTCAAGAAGCTATATGGCATACCATTTTAAAACGTTTTTTTAAAAAAATATTTTTTTTATCCGATAGAAAAGATGACGAAATATATTTCAGTAAACAAGTACATGACAGAAGTCAAAGATAAGTTAGCTCCATTCGCATATTTGAATGTTTACTTCTACAATTTTGAAAAGTCTACATTTGACAAAATTTGGAACATTGCACCAGTTAAGTTTGCTGTTGTTAGAAAAAGTGGTGCAACTTTTGAAGACTTAGACATAGAAGGTTTGTTAGCAGTCAAAGAAAATTTTGACAGAAGGTTCTCAAACCTTAAAGAAGGTAAAGCATACAAACTTGTTATACCTTATGAACCAAAGAAAGCAGACGACTATGAATATTATGAGTCTAAGATAGTTGAAGTTCAAGGTAAATTAGGTAAAAAGATTTTAGAGTCTAAACCAGTGTTTGCTCCTAAAGAGGAAGAGAACATTGACATTGACCCAGAAATGTTCTAAAAATAAAATTTTATTTTTACATGTCAAATTTCTTTTTCTCTGGAACTGGTTCAGGTTCTTTTTTCTCTTCTTCTACTTTCTTTTCTTTCTTTTCTCTCTTCTTCTTCTTCTTCTCTGGTGGAGTTATGTCAAACTTCTCAGAACCATATTTTTGTAAAAGGTCTTTGTCCTTTAATAGCTCTTCTATTCTGTTTTCTATTTCATCTTCAAGAACAGCGCATGTGCCTTCTTTGCATTCTAAGAACTTTTGTTGGACTTCATCTTTCCAATCGGGTCATCTCTGTCAACAAGTCTGTCATTGACAAACTTAAAGACTTCTCTGCCTAATGTTTATGGTTCTTGTCATATTCCAGAAACAGAACTTTAGAACAAATTCACCTTTTCTTGTTTACACTATGTAAGATTTTATGGTCGACAGATGTTTTGCTGTCGAAAGTTTGTCTCGAATATAGATAGCGAAATCGCTAGACATTTTCAAAAAGATAAAAATTTTAATTTTTTCTAAAAATATGTTAGAAAAAAAGTTTGCTGACATTGACAAGAAATTTGAGAATGTTTTAAACAAGAACAAGAGGAAGTTAGAAAATGCTCAGATAAAACCCATACATGACAAGTTCCTATTTGCTCAGAATGGTTTATAACAGGTCTAATCGCACCACCTGGGTCGGGTAAGACTTTCATTATCTTAAAATGGCTGCACAACAAAAACTAGATGAGAAGAACCCATTCTATGAGTTAGTAGTCATTTGTAAAGTCTTCTGGTCAATTCGACCAAACCGTCAATTCGTTCAAAGATATTATAAAGAAGTCTAAGTTAGTATGTATAAAAACTCTGAGTTGTTAGATTGGATAAGAAGTACCAAAGAAGAGTTTTGAAGTACAATGCTATAAATGAGTATATAAATTCTAAGTTTAAAGACCCAAATGAGGAAATGCAGGAATATTAGAGAAGAAACACTTCAGAAACAACAGAAAGAGATAGAATACATTTCGAAGAAATTGCAATCTTACGATTGGAAGACATACCCTAATAGTCTTCTTATTTTAGATGACTTTGCTTCTCATCCTTTGTTAAAGAACAGAGAACAAGACATGTGTCGAATTCTCAAGAAGCTCAGACACTTTAACATTTCAGTTGTCATTTGTGTACAGACAGCAAAGAGTTTAAGTAAGGATGTTAAAAGAATACTTACTGATATCATACTTTTCCCTGGATTGTCCGAAGACGATTTCATGGAACTTATGAAAGAGTCCATGGCAGGTAAGTTTGACAGACATGAACTATGGGAGAAGTACAAAGTCATACAAGACCCTCATACTTCTTTCAGAATTCACATTACGCGAACAAAGTTCAAATTGTAAAAAGTCAAGCGTAAAATGTAAGTGTTTAGTCTTAGTAAGTCTGTCGGATGGAAGAGTTCTTCCTGTCGGATGGAAGAGTTCTTCTGTTGTCGGGAAGAGTTCTTCCTGTCGGATGCAAGAGTTCTTCCAGTTGTCGGGAAAATATTTTTCTGTCGGAAGGAAAAACTTTTTCTGAAGTTCGACCAAAAAGTTCTCAATTTTCGAAAATTTGAATGGTTTACGGACGAACAACAAGAAAAATTTTTCCAGTTGGAAGGAAGAGTTCTTCCAGTTGTCGGGAAATTTTTTTCCTGTTGGAAGGAAGAACTTTTCCTGTCGGATGGAAGGACTCGGAATGCCAGAAGGATTTGACAAGGCAATTTACTTTATAGCTACCTGAGCCATCTGAAGTCAAGACCAAAATAAATGGTTCATCTACTCTACTTGTTTGAAGTTGTCAAAATACTCTGTTATTTTTTCTTTCAGTAGCGGCAAATCTTCTTTGAATGTAAGTATTGTACAACCTTTAATATCATAGTGTGTTTGAGGTAAAGTATCTTGAACTATCTGTTTAACATCTTCATTCGGTGTCATTGAATCGGTAAGTTTTCGCGATAGAACCAATTTCTCTGTCAGATTTGTAAATCTTAGGCAAGGTCGTAAAAGCTTTTGTTGTTTCTTCTGACTAAATGCAACATAACCATGTCACTGTCTTCTTCTTTCTCCATATCTTCAGTATAAATCATATACTTATAGTTCTTTTCCTTTCCTTTTGGTACCGAACGTGGTATTCTTTTCTGAATGTTTTTGTCTTTTGCTTCAAGCTTGTTTTCCATCTCTTCACGTTCTTGTCTATGAATTTCGTCAAGAAGTTTACAGACATACCATGAATAGCGAGCTGAAGCCCATTGTGCCACATTATTTACAAGAAGTCTATGTACATACCAACCTCTCAAACCATTTGGCAATTTTTCACGATTTTCATAGAGTTTTGGCGACTGGGGTTTTTCTCCCACTCGCTGTTCTTCACGATTTTCAGAAAAAAGTATGTCTCGCTGTGCTTCATTTAATAGTTCAATAGTGCTTTGGTTCCTAAACCAGTCTTTAGGAAGCTTAGTATCTGGAGCAAAACATGCTGTCAAAATACTTTGCATTTGGTACATGTCATCTTTGACCGAACGAATGAGACGTAACTGTTTGTTATACTGTATGTACTCATATTCTTCATTTATAGCTTCATGGACTATAACTGTTGTTGTGTTCTCTGTTGTTGACATATCTGTCTTTACATACAAAATAAAAAAATAAAAAAAAATAAAACTAACTTTATTTTTTCTATCTTGTATAAAAGACCAAAAATAAACGCTTTACATGTATTTTTCAGCAACTTCGTCAAATAATTTTATAGCTTTACCTATCTCATCTACTTCAAACGTTTCTTTACCTTTCGTGGGAGCACCATACATTTTCTCAAACTTTTCAAGTAGTTCTGTTTCTGCAGCTCTCATATCGTTAACGAACACAACCTTAACTCTATTGACTGTACTGTCATATCTTTTAGTTATATTATATGTTCTTCCTATCTTATATCTCTTTGTATTGAAGTCCTTTGGTTTCTGAACGATATAAAGTAAGCCTTCACTGCAACGTTCAGTATCGAATGAACCATATGTTATGAAATTATATCCAACAACTGGGTCTAACCATAACAAAACTATTGGTATAAGACTTTTGTCTATAAGATATGCTGTAGTTCCATAGAATCTTACCGATATCATAAGCTCAGGATTTTTTGTCAAAATTTTCTGAGTAGAAGCATTTTTAACCCAGTCGTGGGATGTTTTCTTTTCAGATAGTGTTAGAATGTCTGACAAAGAATATTTGTTGTATTTCTTTGAGTATCTTACGTTTAAATCACCAATTCTAACCACTTTGGTGTCATTGTCTATCTTTTTAACTGTTTCAAACTCAGTGTTTGTCATTTCCTGTTCTTACATACAAAATAAAAAAAATATTTTAAAAAAACTAGCGTTAATTTTATTTTTTCTATCTTAAGGAAATTCATGAAATTTGGTCATTTTACTCAGAATTCAATAAAATATATTTTAGGCGACCAGGTCACTCGGTTAAATGAACTTCTCTGAAAAAGTGTGACAACATGACATTTTGACAACAACACAGGAAATATACTTCTTCGTAAATGTTTTGTCAAGACTTCTTCGTAATGAGCGTAAATCAGACAAAAATATATTTTAGGGTAGAAGGGTATATCTACCCCGTTTTCTACCCTCATTTCTACCCCATATGTCCTTACTGAAAAAGTATGTGTTCCATATGTCATTTTACTCAGAATTTTGTGCTGAATTCAGCAAAAATATATTTTAGGGTAGAAGGGTATATCTACCCCGTTTTCTACCCTCATTTCTACCATAAAGTTTTACAAGCGTTTTACATGGTATATGTTGTGATGGTTCATGACTTTAAACAGTTTTGTAGCTTCTATTTCTTCACGAAGGATATCAAAAATTTTAACTATGCCGAAGGTTTCTTTATATTTCTTCTTGACATCTGAAAGAAGGAAATCGTTAGCAGTTGGATAGTTTTTGTTCAGAAATGTCAACATGTCCATTTTATCTTCTGCTGGTTTCTCTACTTCTTTCTTTAAGTCAGTATGGTCTTTTCTCATTCTTTCTATCTCTTTGACGGAGTAGTTATATTTCCTCATTGCTGCTTTACATTTAGAACATTGTGAGTTCATTTTTGCGTTATATTCTGAAATTTGTCCTGCTAAAACAAGTAAGGCGTAGATGGTTTTCTTTAACTCAAAAGTTGCGGGTTTTATCTGTTGGTTCCATACCTTACCTCTTCTATCTTTATCTCTTCTCTGCCATACACACTCAGCAACTAACGAAACAAAGTTGTCGTAGGTCTTAAACTCTTCAGATTTATATATGTCAATGTCCATGACTTTGTGGTTGTAATGAAATCCAAGAAACTCATAGTTTACCTTTCGTATGAACTTCTTTATTTCTACTGAGTCAGTCAGTCTGACTTCAATTTCATCGAATTCTGGAATAGTGAGTTTTTGTTGTTGTATTTCAGGAAGTTTAGGCAAATGGTCTATAATATCTTGCATTTCATAAAGATACTGTTCATTTGTTTCATCTTTTGCACTACAGTCTAAATCTCCTTGGAGAAGTTCTTGCTTTATCTTCTGGATTTCTGTTTCGAAAGTATATGAAGAAGGAATGAAGCTTTTCATCTCTACTAACATTGAAGTTGGGTTCATGACTAACGAGTTTGGTGCTGTTGTTGCAAACATGTTCTTACAATAAAAATAAAAAATATTTTTTGGTGGGACTACCTTTATTTTATTTCAGCACAAAATGAACGAGTTTGGTTTAAAAATACGGTGGAGCCAAAAATGGCTCGACCTCAAAAACAAGCATTTTGTGAAGAATATACCAACCCGCTGTTTTCCGCGGGTTGCTTTTTTTATACAAAGTTCAAGAGTTTTGTGTGTTTTCTACGAGGGTAGAAATGAGGGTAGAAATGAGGGTAGATATACCCTTCTACCCTAAAATATATTTTTTGGTGGTACGTCGGACATTGTTCTGAAACAGTACAAATATTGTTCTGAAACAGTACAAATATTGTTCTGAAACAGTACAAATATTGTTCTGAAACAGTACAAATATTGTTCTGAAACAGTACAAATATTGTTCTGAAACAGTACAAATATTGTTCTGAAACAGTACAAATATTGTTCTGAAACAGTACAAATATTGTTCTGAAACAGTACAAATATTGTTCTGAAACAGAAAATTTTTCTCTCAAATTGAGAGCTTTTACGGGAAATTTGTTCTGAAAAAGTACAAGACTAGTTCTGAAAAAGTACAAGACTAGTTCTGAAACAGAACAAGACTAGTTCTGAAACAGAACAATGGACAGCATCGAGCCATTAGATGAGGCAATTTACCTTATAGAGATAAATGAAGTTGTTAAGCAGTATTTGGGCAAGGACAAAGCCAACAAGTCCCTCGGCGTCTGGTTGTCTGGAAGAGGTGCGCTGAAAATCGAGATTTCGACTGGAATTCCAATTCAAATACCAGAAAACACTCCTGTAGACGACATAAAGGAGATGAAGAAAGAAGCTCTTCTCAAGTTCTTTGCAAAGCGCCCATGGATACAACTTCCAAACAGAGAGAGTCCAATTCCACGAATTATACAAATTCTCAGAGCACTGTTCCACTTCTCTGGTCAGCCGTTCTACATAACCTGTGAAGGCGACATCCAACCAGTTCAGTAAACATCTCATTTTAACTAACTTTTTTGCTGTCTTAAGGAAATTCATGAAAATTCAACGGGTAGAAATGAGGGTAGAAAACGGGGTAGATATACCCTTCTACCCTAAAATATATTTTTCAGTGCTTTTTCAGCACTTTTCCGTAGTTGTATATGAAAGACAATTCGAGATAAAATTTCTTCATCTGAAATAGTCCTACCAGTATTTGTAAAGATATAGTCTAACGGTTTTGTATCTGCTACTTTTGTTCTTTGTTTTTCAACCTGAAACATTTAATATATGTAAAAATATACTGTTTTAAAAAATGTTTTAAAATGGTATGCAATGTTTTACTTCATGCAATGTTTTATTTCATGCAATGTTTTATTTCTGTGCCGTCTTCAAGTATGCCCCAGTACTTACGCTTGGAGAGGACATGAACTTCGGAAAATACCTTATCTAGCTTAAAACAGCCCATCTTCTCACCGACTAAACCCATTTCAATGAGTTTGTTGTATCCTTCTTCGTTCGTCATGAGTGCGTCAATGTTCTCATAGTAAACCACAACTTTGGATTTGACTTCGGAGAAGAATTTGTTGTAGTTGTCAAGGACTGCTTTTGCGAACTGAGGGTAAGACCAATGTTCGACAATAGGTTTTAATGTGGTTACTAAGCCACTTTCACCTTCGGTAAATTCGTATTTCAAAACAAAAGGAGAAAACCTTTCAACAAAGTTGTCGACCTTCTCATAATGTTTACTCTTCATCTCTTGAGGTTTCTTAATGGAATATCCCCATGTCGAATTCATAAGCAATTTGAGTGTCATTGCAAGTTTGGGGTTTGAAGCTTTCCTAATATCATATAGTTGTTGTATGACTTTTCCAACTGTATAGTTCCTTCCTGGGAACTCACCGTCTTCGTTTGGAATTCCAGTCGGGATATATTGGACGAACCTCATGTACGCAGCGTTAAGGTCGACATAGTATATCTTTTCATCTGAGTCGAACTTGTCGCATCCAATCGGACCAGTTCGTGGAAATTCAAGTGAGTCTCTTATCTTCTGAGAAACTTCTCCTGTTATCTCATAAACATCGTCGAAGCAACCTGTTTCATATAAAACCTTCTGACCTAACTCAGATGCTCTCCAATACAATTTGACGTCAATTGGATGTCTCAATGGAAGTTTGTTTATAGCATCTTGAAGTTCTTGCAACCTCATTGGAAGTTCTTCTGGTTCAGGTTGGTATCCGAACAATCCAACTCCTTGTGGAATTGTGTACTTCTTTTGTGCTAGAACTTTGTCTGGAACAACTTTTGGTCTTGCTAACAATAAAAAGTTTGTTTCGTCTTTTGGTACAAAAGTTTCTGTCAGCTTGTCATCTGGAATCGGTTCCAACAAACCTTTCTCGAAAAGAATGTTTACAGCTCTGACAATGTTGCACTTGCCTTTTCCGAACATAAGACTTTCGTTCAACATGAAGTGGTTGTGGAAAATTACAATCTTCAACCATGGTAAGTCTTTGTCAACAACATAGTCGTCATGTGAAGAACCTTTAGCTGTAGGTATGTTGACTCGGATATTGACATTTGCCAACGGTGCAATTTTTGCCAATTGACCTCTGAGAATGTACCTTGTCTTCACACATGACTCAAGATACTTCATCTTCTCTTCTGTAACAAGACCAGAGTTCCTGAGACATGTAAGAATACAAGGTTCATTGACAATTGTTTCAATTGAATTGTAAATTCCATACCTTGTCAAGTCAATGTCAGACTTATTTATGAACGGGAAGTATCCAGCATGTTGTCTGACTGCTTGAGGGTTAGGTTGGTACCATTCGAACTTCACGCTTACAATTCCTTCAATTGCATTCAAAATCTGAGTCGGAGTCAACCATTTGTTCTCTCTTTGTAGTCTTGAAAGCGTCAAGAAGCATTGCAGCTGTTGTGACATTGCCATGTGCGCATAGTATATATGACCGTCCAAATCTGTTACGGTTAGTCTGAGATTGTATCCTTTCTTATTTCCTCTTGAATGGCAGCAAGTACACCCATGAAGCCTTCTTTGTTCTTTCCTTCGTCAAAGTTTACTGTAAAGGTTCGACCAGATGTAATTTGACTTCTAACTTCACGGTACTTTTCATATGCATATCTTGTTCTTTCCATGGGAGCATGTGCGTCTTCACCTTTTCCTTTTTTCCTTCTCAAGGATGCAATTGTTCGTCATGTTTCCAGTAGAACTGGCAAAGCCGTCGTGTCCTTCAACTTGCGGCTCACTAACATTGAAAGGCAAGTTCATAAGACGTTCTTCTTCTAACCTCTCTAATCTGTTTGGATAGTTTGCGCGTGCTGTTTCCAAGTCCATTTCAGGTCAGACCAGCCAGTTTGTCATAGACTTTTATGGGTCTTCCCTTCCTATATTTAAACTTCTTTGAAACTTTCCAACCATATCTTTCTAACTCTGCTTTTATTCTAGCAGACCTTCTATCCATTCTATACGGGGGCATTTTTATAAAAATAAAAAAATGTTTTTTCCTTTACTTAACATAACCACCAGCTACCATAAGTCTTTGACGCCAACCCATACCAGCTAATGAAGGTTGACTTGGTTTAGTTTGGAAACTAAACTTTGGTTTTGGTTTATCTTCAGTTTTTGGTTTTTCTTCTTCTATCGGTTTTTCGTCACTTTTCGGTTCCTCTGACTTTACCTCACCTGCAGGAACAGTTGTGTCGTCAACATCTTCATAAATATCATATGCCATTTGTTTTTGTTTTCCTTTCAACTTTTTGTGTTTGTTGTAAAGTTTAGAATATTTCGACTCTAAGTCAATGAGATGTTCTATAATGAACTGTTGGTCAGTGAAGTAAACTTTTCCATCTGTTGTCTCGAAAATTCCTTCAGACTTCAATATTTTATTTGTGAGAGTCTGTTTCTTTTTTGAGATACTAGCCGTTCCATTTCTATGAAAAGTGACTTTATAGTTAGGGTTTGTATTTCCAGACCTGGCACTTTCTATTATTGAATTTTTCTCTTCATCTGTAAGTTCTTTGACAGGTTTTGACAATGGTTCTGAACTTTTTGTTTGTGGTGTCAAATCTACCGTTTCAACTTCTTCGGTCATTTCATCTCAGTAAAAAATTTTAGTTTGGTTTGTTTTCAACTGGTTGTTGTTGTTTTTTAAGTCGGTCTAAAACTTCCTGAGGTATAGGAAGAACTTGACAAACACGTGGTTGTGTAACTGCTGGAAGTCGACAAATCCATCTTGAGCCCATTTGTCTCAATGCTGTATTGTTCATTTCATCTCAGTAAAAAACTTTACATTCCCCACGTTTGAGGCGGTTGAGGTTGGTTATTGTTTACCCACTGTTGTGCATGGTTATATCCTCTGTTAAAGAATCTTTCACCTTGGTCCATATAGTGTCCTGCTTGGTTATAGTAGTCATTTGCTTTGTTATAGTTTTCCTGCTTCTCTTCCTACATTGTCCATCCATCCTTGAACTTTTCCTCTTGTTTCAGGATTTGGAATAAGATTTGCTGCATCTCGTGCTACCTCCCAACCTTTCTGTACAGTTTGTATAATAGGTTGTGCTTTCTCTTTCAGTATACCTAATGTACTCAAAATCTTCCTTCCAACTCCAAATACCCTCTGGCTATTGTTCCCACTGCGGGCAAAAATCTGGATGCAACTCCTGCTAATGCGCCAAATAAACCCATTTCTTATGGGTTAAAAAATGACGAATCCAAACAAGGACCCCTATGTTTCTAAGCACACAAGAAAGCACTCATGATAAAAATCTTTAGTTCAACACCAAATGCTTGGTTTATGGATATCTTGGAAAACATTCCGAGGTATAGAGAAGATGGACCACCATACTGGCTAATATTTGTCGGTCAAAACACAAGATACTGTGAAGCCATACCATTACAGTCCAAAAATATTTTAGATGTGAAAACTGCTTTGACAATATTCGTTGACAAATACCATCCAACAAAACTGACATCTGACTGTGAAAGTTCTTTCAAATCAGACGATATTAAAAACTATCTGCGTTCAAAAAATGTAAACCAATATTTCATTGTCGACCAAAACCATTCTGCTCTTGGTGTCATTGACAGTTGTATAAAAATCTTAAGAGACTTAAACCAACCACAAGGTGGTGAGGTAGATGAAATGTCATATGACGACAAATATAGACACTTCTCCATGGCAAAGATGAGACAAGTTTTAAATATTTACAATAGCCGTAAACAAAAAGGTTTGGGAAACCACTCCCCCGAAGAAATGAAAAACAACCCTGACTTAGAGAAAGACTATATATTTAATAGTTTAGTCAAAAGAGACAAACAAGAAAGAATGCCAGGCTTCAAACTTAAGAAAGGCGACAAAGTAAAAATAGAAATACCTAAACGCGACCCATATGAAAATACTATTGACTATGACAACAATGGGAACCCGACAGGTACTCACATTCGTGTTCGTAAAAATAGAAGAAAGTATACAAGAGAATATTATGAAGTTTTAGGCAAACATGGCAAAATGTACAGACTGCAAGCAGAAGATAAAACTACTATTGTCAGACCTCGTTTCAAACTTGTTAAGTTCAAGGTGGTATACTTTCAAAGACAGTTCCTAACAAATATAAGACAACTCCTGACGAATATGCTAAAGAAGTTGAAAATGACGACTAAGCATTTCTATACCATGCGTAAACTGTCATGTAAGGTGGCATGTAGTCTTTACTTTGTCCCGTTGTTTGCGTATATCCTGAACGCGATGTGTATGGTTTCCATCTCCCTGAGTGTCACTCCAGTAACAATTTATAGCAAACTGAACGTCGTCTTTAACATCATATCCTTTACCTTTTTTCAAGCGTGACCAATCCCAAAATTTATGCTTATGCCAACCTGCTTGAGATGTACTTAAATCTACGTAGTGACTGTGTGCAGGTAGGTTTTCACCTGAAATCGTTTTACTTCCGCCTGTTTCCTTTGAAGAGTTTGCACAATACAAAAACCTGTCGACTATTTGAGTCCAAGTTCCGAGACCAAGTACTACTTCTGGTCTGGTAGAGTTCATTGACGTATAAATAGAGCCTATAGGATATAATGTTTGAAGTATTTCTGTCTTTAATGTTTGAAGCTCTGTTTTGTCTGCTTTTTTATATAACTTTTCTTCAAGTTCATTTACGTCAGAGATGCTATGTCTATGATATTTTTGTGCGTATGTTCCTTCTGTCCATCTGAAAATATACTCTTTTGTTGCATCTACATATCCAGCTATCCATGTCGAGTCTGCTTTTGTATTCCTTAACTCTGTAACACCTTTCTCAAGCTCTTTCAACTGTTGTCCATCTTCCATTAAACCTCTGGTATGACTTGAAACCGTTTGTGCCAACATATCTACAGTTTCTTTGTCAGCTTTAAGGTCTAAACACCCTGAAACCCATCCTGTATCAGCTTTCGTTTTTAAAATCTTCGATGTCCGTTCATTATACCATTCAACCCTTTCTATAATTTCATTGTCTTTTTCATCCACATATTCCTTATCTGCCTTCTTCACTAACGCACTAGCCATACGTGCTAACTCATCGTCAACATATTCTTTGTCAGCTTTGTTGTCAACATCTGCTTTCAAAAGAAGTTCATCTATAGGTTTCTCGTTTAAAGTTCCTTTTGTTGGATTTATACAGACAGTATGGTTCTTACTGTCTTGAAACAGAAACTCATCTGTCATTGGGTTTATCGTCAGTTTTAAGTTTCCTTCTTTCAATGACTCAGATATCTTAGAATAGTTTGAAAAGTTTGTTGTGTTCTTATTTAGAGCTTGCAAAATGAGTTGTCGGTTGTGTTGTATTTCTCTCATGGAAGCAATATCTTTCGACATTTTTATTCTAGATAAAATATGCTTCCAATAGAAAAAGAAAATTCAAGAGTTGCTACAACTAAACCATTAGATGAACTTTTTACGAATGTCGGTCAAAAGTTTGAGACAGAGACCGTAAAGCATGAAGGCTATCGTTTTGACTACCCATTAAGATGGCTAAGAGACCCATCTGTCACAAAAGCTATTGGCTTTCGTAGAATGAAGTTTGTGTCTGTAGAAGATAAAAGTTTTCCATTTATTGTAAGGTTTCATATAGATTATATATCTGAAGGGAAACGAAAAATGTGGGAAGAAATTGAGCTAATACAAGTTGACCTTTCATCTTCTCTACAGACTGCGTTAAAAAATATAGAAGATAAAATAAATTCATGTTATGCAAAATATGCTGATGAATATGCAAATACCGAAGCACACTTTATGTGAGAATTGTATATGACAACAAAATTCACAAGTGTCATTTCAAATCTACGAAGACAATCCAAAGAAAGACGAACAAATATATACAGAATTCACTGCAATGTCATGGTATTATTTGCAAAGAATGTTAAATCAGAAAGTCGAACTTCCTTTAGCAAATATTTACAGTCGATATGCAAGAGATGAACCATATTTATTTAAAGATGTTTTCGACCCAGCTGCTATTATTGTTCATGCTTCATTTTCTGGCGCCCAAAACTCTTTCTTATGCTTGGCAAATGACTTTTACGAAAAACCTACAAAGTTATATGAACCGCCGAGTGGAAGTATTTCAGACTTTCAAGTATGGTTTACAACAGATGGAAGAAAGAGAATAATTCCATTATACCATGCGTTTTACTTAGAACTTAGTTTCATATACAACTACTATCGAACGGTAAAAATATAATTTTTTAATACGGTTGAGGTGTTGGATTTGGTTGCCAACTAGACTGTGGTGCAGGTTCAGGCTGTTGTATAACAGGAGCTTGTTCTTCTGGTTCAGGGTCTTTAGGTATAATACCAACGAACTGACCTACTCTTTTACCAATATTTTTGACTCCGTTCCAAATTCCTCTTCCTACGGTTTTTATTCCATTCCATATACCTCTTCCAACTCTTCTGAAGAAGTTTCCAATACTACTGAAGAAACCCATTTTACTATATGTAAAAATCTAATGTCCGCCTAGTCTCTTACGTTTCCTGTTGAGTTCCATTGCATTCTTTAACTGGAGCTCATACATTCTGTTTCTCCTCTGGTAGAAAACATATTCTGGGTCAACTCCTGTGTTTGCGTCATCTGCATAAAGTTGTTTATATCCCACTTCAGGGTTTGTATAAAACTCTTTCCATCTCATATTTGCATACCATGGTGGCAAACCTAACGCAGCGTCATTTGACATGGCAGTTTGCATTTGTACATCTGTTGGCACTTGACCATAGTTTGCCATTGCAGTTTGTATTCTAACTTCATTTGGAATATTCTCTGGGTTTGGTTGTCCAGGTTGCTGTGCATTCGCTAAGTTCTGTGCGTCCATTTAATATTAGATAAAAATATCTCTTACGAGTACATATACTGAACATTTGCAGGCATTGGTTCATCTTCATATTCTCTATATCTTTCTGCCACGTCAAATAAGTAAATGACACAATGGAAAAAACCTAAAACAAGTAGTCCTATTTCAAACCACATTTACTTACTAGTAAAATTTCTTTGTTATGACACTTTCTCCAGTTTATAGGACCTCTCTCATATTCTATCTTATCGTATCTAAACTCATAGTCATGTATGTCCTCTAACCATCTCATGACACTTTCCAAACCACTTTTATCGGATGTAAAGTAAAAGCATGGATGGTTATGTAAAACGTCTAAAGTTTCTAAAGAGTCTCTCAAAGTCCAGTCTACTTGGTATTGAAAATCGTATGTGTTAAAGAACGGCGGTCTACTATAAAGAAAACATTTTCCTTGTTTTTATATTTTTCATACAACTCTGTCCAACGACATCTCACAAACTCTATACCCTCAGTATATTTTTCTATGTTCTCTTTGAAAACCTTTGTATAGTTAAGATATAAAACTTTTGACATAAGTGTTTCAATGTCATGAACTCTATAGAACCACTATACAATAGTCTAGAAGATATACTATCCCAGTCAATATACTCTGCTTTTTTCAAAACCTCTCTGACAGTATTTTTCTTATCTAATGGTATACGTTCCATCTTACCTATAGGTATCTTTTCTTTTAACTCTTTCAATATTTTGTTAGTGTCTGGTATATGTTTGAGACGGTCCATATAGTTGTCGAAGTCATTGCATATAATCTTTGAGTCAGGGAATACGGTATGGCACAAATGAGATATATAGAAACTTCCACCGAACAAATCTACAAATGTTAGACCATTCGGTAGTTTCTTAAGTTCTCTCAATAGAATATCTTTACATCTACTCTTATTTCCAAAGAAGGGTAGCGGTGGTTTTGTAAAATTCATTTTATATACAATAAAAATGTTTTTTCCCTGAAAAGTGACAGAAAAGCGGTTTTTGACAGATGTTTATATGACACTTTCTCAGTAAGGACTTTGTTGAGATTTCTTCGTAAATGAGTGTAAATGACCCAAAAATATATTTTAGGGTAGAAGGGTATATCTACCCCGTTTTCTACCCTCTTTTCTACCCTCTTGAATTTTCATGAATTTCTTCGTAAAGACTTTGTCAAGACTTCTTCGTAAAGACTTTGTTAAGACTTCTTCGTAAAGACTTTGTTAAGACTTCTTCGTAAAGACTTTGTTAAGACTTCTTCGTAAAGACTTTGTTGAGACTTCTTCGTAAAGACTTTGTCAAGACTTCATCGTAAAGACTTTGTTGAGATTTCTTCGTAAATGACCCTAGTAGTATATTTTTGGTGTAAATTTCATGAAAATTCAAGAGGGTAGAAATGAGGGTAGAAAACGGGGTAGATATACCCTTCTACCCTAAAATATATTTTTGTCTGATTTACACTCATTGTCTATGTTTTGTTGAGACTTCTTCATCTAATTTCTCATGAACTTTCTTGTCTATGTTTTGTAAAGACTTTGTCAAGACTTCTTCGTAAAGACTTTCTTGTCTATGTTTTGTAAAGTTCTTCGTAAAGACTTCTTTGTAAATGTTTTGTCAAGACTTCTTCGTAAAGACTTTGTTGAGACTTCTTCGTAAAGACTTTGTTGAGACTTCATTTATACTAAACATCTTCGGGGGCTAGAAGGCACGAAGTGCCTGGAAGCCATCCCCCAAGAAAAAAAAACTTCATTTATACTCATTCATCCTCAGGGCTAGAAGGCACGAAGTGCCTGGAAGCCCCACTACCTTTTTTTTTTTTTTTTTTTTTTTTTTTTTTTTTTTTTTTTTTTTTTTTTTGTATATATATCAGAATATGCACATAATGATACCACATATACTTAAACTATACGTATTTAAATCTTAGCGATCAATATAATTTTTTTTTGTAATATCGAATAAAAGTTTGTTTTCGCATTTCCGTTTTATTTGACTACATGAAGATAAGAATTCTTGAGAACGATTTTAAATAAATTGCCAAATTGAAGAATTCGATATATGATGATATTCACTGATTTCTGCCAAACTTGTAGGAATGAATCCATTTAGAATAAAAACGATTTGTGCATTGGAAGCTCAGAACAAGTTATGTTCATTATCCCAATATGAAGAAAATGCACGTTTAGAAAAAGACGATAACGATTAAATTACAAAATCGATAACGACCCTGAATTTTAATGAGGAATAGATTTAATCAATGGATTGAATATATTTAATCAATGTATTTGGATTTCAGAATTATGATTTAGATAGTGTTTTGCAACCACATCAATCTGGATAATTTCGAGTTGAAAAAAATTCTGATTTGATCTTTTATTGAGTTATTAATAATTTTGTTTAATTTTAATGATGATTCTATTAAATATTTAAATGATGTGCAAGGTTGAGAATGATAAATCATGAGTTATAATTAAAATAATTCGAAATTTGATCAAATTTCAAACAATAACTTATCAGAAACAATGTAAAATGCATATGAATAGACAATTAATTTTTATTATATGAATAATATCATTTAGTACATTATTATTTAGGATACAAATCAAATTCTATGAATTGATTCAAATTTCTCTGTCTTCTGTCAAAATTTTAAAACGTATTAAAAAAGCTCTATGGTTGCATCAAAATAGTTGATCTATATGGTGTGCATATTATTTAAAATAAAACATGTCATTTTTATGTTTGGTCGGATTCTTTAAAATTTTTCAATTCATTCAAATTTTTGAATACAACGGTTTTTAATAATTATCATTAAATTTTAAAAATAAATTATAGAAATTAATATCGTATTGAGCATATAGTTATGAAATAATATGTTTTCGATCGCAAATTTCTGAGGAGCTTTCAGAAGTCTCAATTAAATGTTATCAAAATATCTATTGAGTTGATTAGTCACATCATTTGAAACATCATAATATTATTTTTTACTGTATAATGTTGTTAATAGTAATTTTTGGATCAAGTAGGGAAAATTTATTTTCAACTTGAATTTCAATATTGTTTTCAATGTTTTAACGGCAGATTTGAAATTCTCAAAACAAAAATCATTTCATTTTCGAAGATGAAGTACTTATTCGTCATTGCACACTGCGATCCAAAGAAGGAATCAACAACATATTCACTATCAAAGTTTGTGAAAAATGAACTCGAACAAGCTGGACACGAAGTCAAAGTTGTTGATCTCATTGAAGATGGATTCAAAGAATGCCCATCTAAAGATGATTTCATTAATATTGGTGATAAACCTTTCTTTTATCCGTTCCTCCAAAAGAATGACAATTTAATTCCTCTCATTAAGGAACATCAGCAAAAGTTATTATGGGCTGAAAACATCATCGTTTTCGCTCCTATTTGGTTCTTAGGTCTCCCAGCAGTTTTCTATTCATATATCCAGAGAGTTTTCACATATGGCTGGGGTTACACACTTGGAGGCAAGAGAGATGGAATGCCACTCTTTGGAAGAAGAATCATGTTTGTTGTTGGTACAGGAGCGCCTAAACCACACTACTTGCCAAACGAATCTGCTACAACAATCGAAGGAATACTTTACCACGTTACGAACACAATGTATTACAGTGGATTAGACTGCAAGTATTCTTTCCCTGTGTTCACAGCACCTTCGCTTAAAGGAGATGACAGAATCAAGAAATTTGCTCAAGTTTCAGAAGCTGTGAACAATATCGAGAAAAGGAAATCTCTTCCATTTGAAGAAAAGCACACTGGAAATACTGAAGTTGCTACTTTCTCAAACCTCCAGTACATTGACTAATCAATAAACAGACATTTTAATAAGCTCAAAAAAATTGTTATTTATCTTTAAAACATTCAGATATTCTGTAATAATGATTAGGAATTTATATTTCAGGATTAATGATTCACATATGAAAACAACCCGAATGAATTTAAAAATTATGAATTGATTATTTTGTTTATAATTTTATTCAATTATAAATAGAATAAATATAGAAAATTCACTCATTCGAAAGAATGGTGAACATCGAAGTTGTATGGAATTATATTTACGTGGTAAAGGAGGTCGAAGTGGATAACATATGGCATTTCGAATAAAATCTTTGTTCATAAATTTGTCATATGGATATGATTCTGAAACATGAACAGTGCAATCTTCTGGTAACACAAAATTAATATCATCAGATCCACAAAAATAAACATCTTTAAATTGTACATTATTTGCATCAATTTTTGAAGTTCTTGGTGGAATATAAATTGTTTGAAGTCCCATATAATCAAAGGCCATAAAATGAATTGTTGTGATTGTATCTGGAAGAATTAAAGTTTTTAATTTACCGCATCCATAAAACATTGCGTGTGGTAATACAGTCGCATATGCCGAACTTAAATCAATGTATTCTAAGTTTCGACATTCACGAAATATCTCGAGTCCAAAATCTTTTATCGAATTGTTCAAAATAAATTTTGAAAATGTGCAGCCACGAAATGATTTTGCACCTGAAAGAATCTCAACAGATGGTACGATATCGATTGTATAACTAGACGGATAGATATATAATGTTTTATAATCAGAGCTGTATAAAATACCGTTGTGAACTTTGAAAAATCTACTTTTTGAGACAATTTCTGTCAATCTGTTACATCCCGCAAATGCTCTAATTGCAATTGTATCTAGACTCTCTGTGATTGTAATGCTTCTTATTGGAGTATGTTCGAAGGTTCCTTCTGGTATTTTCTTTAGTGATTTTGGCAGTGAAATGTTTTCTAAATATGATTGAAGAAAAACAATATTTTCTAATAAATATGAAGAAGTCGTGAGTGAAAGATCTATATTTGTTATTGTTGATGATCGAAATCCATATTCTCTAATTATTTTAACTGATTTTGGAATGTTAATAGATCGAAGTTTAGAATTAGAAAAACAATTCGAACCAATTTCAACGATTGAATCTGGTAGTGATATCTCTATAAGATCACACTTATAAAAGCTAGAAGATCCTAATATTGTAACTGGTATTCCATTGATAGAATTTGGAATTGTTAACTTTGAATTAAAAGTCTGATCAATTGATTGATTTGTTCCATTTCCTATTTGAATCGAGTCCTGTGATAAAATTTTGTATGTAATAGGAGTTTCTGCATCATTGTATTGAAGGGTTATTTATAAAATAACATTTTCATGAAAATGTCACTTTTATCATGACACTTTTTCGATCATTCTTCTTTCAATTTATTGATAATAGCATCTCAAACAACTACATTCCATACCAAGAACATATAAGATAGAATAGCAAAAACATCAATGTGTACATATGTATTCAAGATAACTAAAATACAAATTTTAAGATTTTAGATGACCAATCAAATTGAATAATAATAGTTTCAAATCATAATTGGAAATATGCAATAGTAACAGAGAAATCATAAGTTATCATGAATTTAATCTTCATATGGTATATAATTATCTTGATATGTCATTGAAATTACTATATTTATTTGAATTTTAATGAGGAATAGATTTAAAAAGCCAATGGATTGAATGTTTTAAATATTGAATGATGTTGTCTCATAATGAAATATTAAGAAATTTTAAATAGATTCATTGTAGATTTAATTATAAATCTCATCATATCTATTGATGTTCATATATGGTTAAAAAGCATTCGAATTATTATTTAATCATTGGATTTAGATTTCGGAATTATGATGTTGAAGAAAGTGTTTTGAAACTACAACAATCTGGATAATTTTAAGTTGAAAAAAAATATTCAAAATATGTTTCTGTGATATTGACTAGGAATTTATATTTCAAGATAAATTATTCATATATGAATTGATAATTTTGTTTATAATTTTATTCAATTATAAATAGAATAAATACAGCAAATTCACTCATTCGAAAGAATGGAGTGCATCGAAGTTGCATGGAATTATATTTACGTGGTAAAGGAGGTCGAAGTGGATAACATATGGCATTTCGAATAAAATCTTTGTTCATAAATTTGTCATATGGATATGATTCTGAAACATGAACAGTGCAATCTTCTGGTAACACAAAATTAATATCATCAGATCCACAATAATAAACATCTTTAAATTCTACAATATTCTCATAAATTACAGAAGTTCTTGGTGGAATATAAATTGTTTGAACAATCATATTATAAAAGGCCAATGAATTTATTATTATGATTGTATCTGGAAGAATTAAAGTTTTTAATTTACCGCATCCATAAAACATTGCGTGTGGTATTGAAGTTGCATATGCTGAACTTAAATCAATGTATTCTAAGTTTCGACATTCACGGAATGTCTCGAGTTCAAAAACTTTTATCGAATTGTTCAAAATAAATTTTGAAAATGTGCAGCCACGAAATGATTTTGCACCTGAAAGAATCTCAACAGATGGTACGATATCGATTGTATAACTAGACGGATAGATATATAATGTTTTATAATCAGAGCTGTATAAAATACCGTTGTGAACTTTGAAAAATCTACTTTTTGAGACAATTTCTGTCAATCTGTTACATCCCGCAAATGCTCTAATTGCAATTGTATCTAGACTCTCTGTGATTGTAATGCTTCTTATTGGAGTATGTTCGAAGGTTCCTTCTGGTATTTTCTTTAGTGATTTTGGCAGTGAAATGTTTTCTAAATATGATTGAAGAAAAACAATATTTTCTAATAAATATGAAGAAGTCGTGAGTGAAAGATCTATATTTGTTATTGTTGATGATCGAAATCCATATTCTCTAATTATTTTAACTGATTTTGGAATGTTAATAGATCGAAGTTTAGAATTAGAAAAACAATTCGAACCAATTTCAACGATTGAATCTGGTAGTGATATCTCTATAAGATCACACTTATAAAAGCTAGAAGATCCTAATATTGTAACTGGTATTCCATTGATAGAATTTGGAATTGTTAACTTTGAATTAAAAGTCTGATCAATTGATTGATTTGTTCCATTTCCTATTTGAATCGAGTCCTGTGATAAAATTTTGTATGTAATAGGAGTTTCTGCATCATTGTATTGAAGGGTTATTTATAAAATAACATTTTCATGAAAATGTCACTTTTATCATGACACTTTTTCACATTCAATTTCTTGGAAATGGAAGAACACTTTGAATTACTACCTTTTGGGCAGTATTTACTTTCAAACATTGATATTCCATACCAAGAATATATAAGGAAACATCTTTTTTATTCTTTAAGAGATATTTTAAAGACTCGCTCTGAATACTTAAAATCTCTTGCAATTCGAGACACAATTAGTCAGCAGATTAGTGAAAACATTGCCAAATACTTGCAATACTTCCACACAATCACATCTTCGTTCTCAAATGCCGTAGAAATTGAGCAAAACACAATTTCAGGAAAAATTCCAGAAAGATCAACTGATTTACTCAAATATTTAACAGATATCATTAATTTAATGGCCACACAGAAGAAATACATCGGAAAAGTTTACGTTGAGACCCTTTTTGATGAATTTGCCGTCATCAAGCCGAAATCACTTGAAGAATCCGTGGCATACGCATTCGCACAGTTCTCTGTTGGCTCCCATTTGACAAATGGACTCAATATCTGTGTTGATTCCCTTTATAATTTGATTCAATTGGACCAATCCGCAAAATCATACACGAACATCAACATTGTTTACAAACCAAAGACTATAGGAGACTTCGAACCACTTACTATCGTCGAAGTTGACTCAAAAACAATAGAATACGTGACACAATCAGTTTCATTACAAATTTTCGACATCGCGACCGAAATAATACAAAATAGGTCATATAACATGATCGAATACGCCGAAGAACAGCTCGAAATCTGTGTTCGTATACTTCAAAAATGCGAACAACTCGAAAAAACCAAAATTACAGTTACTTCTGCCATTTTAAGATGCGTAGCCTTATACTTACACATCTACTCTTACAGACCAATGCAAACTCCTATCAATATTACATTAATTTCTCGACTTATCAACACAATTATTTTTGCTTCACAATTTTCAGAGGCAAAGACCATTTATCAGAGTCTCTGCTTGATTGTCGCTCTCGTGCCACGCGATATTTACTCTCCGGAGCTTTGCCAAGCAGTTTTTCCAAAAATTCAGAAAGATGTAAAGAAATACATAACAGATTCAGTATCCAACAACCCACAGCTCATATACTCAGCCATTTACACGACAGATTACCTATCACAAGATGATATTATGCCATTAATTGAAGTTATTCCGTTTGTTAACACGATTTTTAAGGTAGATGGGCCATTAAAGCCCATTATATCGAAAGTATTTGAGTTATTCGAGGCAAATCCGAACTTCTCTCTGCTTAAAATGATAATTGAACAAACATCTTGCATTACTGGTGCTCCTTTCATAGCTATGGAGTTCATTAAACAGACAAAATTGCATTTGGCAAGTATTTTAAAGGTTTTGGAAGGCGATAAAGTGTTTTCAGGATATTATATGTTAATTCTCGCTCATTTTGTTGACGATTGCATACAAAGTATCAGTGTATCTCAGAGAGAACTCCAAATCGCTCCATTTGCCGATTTCGTTATCCGTAACAAAGACTTAGTACCGTTCGAATCCGCAAATTTACCAAAAACAATCGTAGACATTTTTCAGAACCACTTATCGTCCGAAATTGAATACACTATTCAATATTTGAGTACTTCAATTCCCTTCATCCAAAAGAAAGCACCAGCAAAGGAAATATTCGAGAATGAGATGAAATTCCTTGCCGCTTTGTTACATGGAGCGAAATTAACTGAAGAATTCGAAAAATTCTCAAATAAGATCTTCCAAGAGAAGAAAGTTGCAAAGCCACGTGATTCTTCAGAAGTTCCACTTAATATCAAGGAGTTATGGAAGAAAGTCTACGTAATGAGAAGATTATTGATGAATTCTTACCAATATTACACAGCTGAGAGCAAGGCGTCAACACTCAAAGGCAACTTTATGGATTTGTCGAAGGATATCACTGAAAAATCCAAGTTAATCCTCACAAGTAAGAATTTAGATTTTGGACAAGAGAATAAGATCGAACAAATCACTAAATTCATTACGTGTGAGTTCAGAATGGAAGATATCAACGAGATTATCAATCTCATGCATCAAAGAGACAAGATTCGCATTCATGCACTTGGATTTGTGCCAAAAGTAGCTCCGGAGCTCAGAACTGATGATGAATTCTACTTTATCTCCAACATGCAGAACGATTTCCACATAAATGACACTAAAAACTCAGAAGTTCTGAATAAAATTTCAGAATTAGAGAAATTCATGCAAAATAGATCAACACAAGTCTCATACGAAGTCACCACATCCTATTCCATGCACGCTTTCTCACCTCTTGACGTTCTAATCCACTCAGTCAAGACATGTAAAAACGAAATCGTTGTAAACTGCGCTTGGTATGCGATTTACAGGAACACATTGATGTCCAATGACATGTCCTACATCAATGGCCTTATAGAACTCGGCAGGGACTTCACAATTGAGAAACATCAGTTATTATCTCTTTCAATTCTGCAAAGATTGGACATTGCGCCCGTAGAAATCCAAAAGCTCATGGAGAAATTCATGAAATACAAAGATGAGCCCCTCTACATCTTTTTGTCTTCAATCGCGGCCGGACATTTCGACAGTGACCTCACTTCCATTCCGAAATTAACCCCTATGATGTTATCTTCGATCGGAGAATTCGCTGTTGGAGGCCCAGGAATCATTACTGTCGTTGAAGAAATGGTAAATTTCATTAGAACTCATATCCAAGAAAACCGTCCGGCCAAACCGTCAATAACCGCTTGTTTACATGACAGTTTATCAAAATTATCAAAGAACATGCCATCAGAAACAATTGGTGCTTTGATCGTTCTCGGTTTTGGCGGTTTGCCACCACAATTGTCACGTTTTTATAAAGGTGACAAAGAATATTCACTTTTATCGAAACCATTGAAATCCTTTTCAAGTTGCAGAGTATTAGCAAATGAAAAAGATTTCGAGATCACGAAAGAAGAAGCTAAATTGATTGAAACAACATTACAACAAATTTTGGCTTCTTTGAACTCATCTAATTTGTCTGCTTCCACTATTATTTCGTATCAGATTTTCTTGTGTTCTATTCCTATTTTGGTTGAAAATGAAAATAACGCAAAACTGTTTTCCAACGGTTTTATTCAAAATTTGATTGATCTTTCTGTGAAAGATTGTGGCCAAGTCGAGCATTTGAGTGGTTTGATTGACTATTTCGGCTGGCTATCGAATACTTTGCAGTACGTCAATTTCAATCTTTTCCAGCCAAAGAACACTTTCTTTACACCAATGGGAATAAATCCTGATACAAAACAAACAATTTTCATTTCAAGAAAAGTGTCAATTGATGAAAGTTTTTCATTCAAAATGACATTTAATGACGCGAAAGAGAATTGTTTCATCGGTTTCACGTTCGCTGATGCGATGACTGACAAGATAACAGCAAAAGGAATATCAATACACGAGAAACAATACAATGTTCCTTTTGATAAAGGTTTGTTAACTTTGTCAGTGGAAAATATTGAGATAAAAAGTGACATTTTCTTTGTGTTGATCTCATCTAGTTTCGATAATTGCACAGTCCAAACAGAGCTTGCAAATGCAACAAGTGAAACTATAAGTCCATTAGAAACTGTTGAATTTTCAACGACACTTTTTGGATGTCACGTTTTTACTCAAAGTATTCCATGTGTTGTTACAGAGAGAAGTTCACAAAGAATCTGTGTTCACGCAGGAAATAGAAGGATCTTGCAAGTCAAAGAAAGATATTGCACAACAATTCCTGAACCTTTGACAACAGTTATGAATAGAATCAAAGCAAAAGATCAGAAACCAAATATCAAAGAATGTATTCAAAAATTGAATTTGCTCTCAATTTTGTTAGCGAGATTAACGGTTTGCAGTTTTTGGAGATATAATTTAGCAAAGTTAGAAGAGAGTTTATTTATATTTAAGTTTGTTTTCTCTTTCTTTAAGTTCAATCTCAGTTTGAACTCATTTTCTTCCGAAGAAAATTTCCAGAAATTATCTCCTCTTAATTTGAAATCTTACAAATGCTTCATTAAAGAGAAAATTTCTGATCCAAAGATATTTGAGAAGGTCTGTTTGGTCGGTGTCAATTTACTTGATCAATCCATAGTTGACAACGAATACATTACATTTAATGAAGAGTTTTCTACTCCGCCAGATACAGCTTTGCTTTTCCCTGAAAAACGTGAAAAATTTGACAAAGATTATTATTTGCCACCTGTTGTCACTTTTAAGAATGAAAGTCATGAGAATCTTATATTAGTTCGGCAGCACTCTATAGAGAAAAGTGATTCGAATATCTATATCACATCGAATCTCTTGAAATTGTTTAAATACACAGGACCTGGTTTATTAGGTGTTTATTGCAAGACAATCTTTCCAAAATTAGTTGGAAATAGTTTGTTTATCAAAGTGATTTTCGAACGTATTAAATCAAATAAGAAATTACTGTTTAATACTGCAAGAATCTTAGTTCCTGCTCCAAAACAAATCGAAGGAATTTTGGCAGAACCGCTTTTATCGTCTATTGAATTAATTTCTGTATGGACAAAAATTAAATTTATGCTGTTTGAAGATAATTTGATTGACTTCGAAAAGAACTTTAAAGAAAGGCCAGATCCTCTTGATGATAATTTGTTTGGTGGATCGCAATTCTCTAGTTTGATTGATGCTTTTGTTATTCAAGGAATGATCAGTGACCAATCAATTGGAATTCCAAGATATCCAATGTATTTGTTCGCAAAATTATGGACGCAGCCTAAATATGTAACTTATGATTTGACTTCTTCTAAAACTATCAAGGATTTGACACCGAGTGTCGCTGAAATCTCTTTGATTAAATTCAGCGGAGAAGGACAAATCGAGTTGCAAATGGCCGACAAAAAACAAATTTTGCAGTTGAATAAGCCGGTGAAAATCGGAAGAGTTAAAGAAGTTAGAATTAATCTTATAGGAACAAAAGGAAAAGTTGCTGTTATACAAGTAAGTGATTTAACAAAACCAGGTCAAGAATTACCAAGAAACTTTAGATCTCTTATAAACAGGGCTGAGAAATACTACAGTTTCATGAATGATTTGATTTTGGCTGATGCGACAAGAATGGATAAAATTGTTCCTATTTTCCCAGGAATTGATCCGACATTGACACAAATCAGAGGAAAAATCATGAAAATGCTGACATTAGTTCTCTCGAAATATAATTTCGGAATGCCGATGTCAATAGAAAAAGCCGCTGAACAGATTGTTGCAATGTTCGTTCAAAGCGTGAAACAGAGATTAGAAAAGATTGTTGTAACTAAAGGTCATTTCATTAAATTCGACAGATTCAAAGCTTACATGGCTTATACTGGCGAAAAAGGAATGACAATGTTTAGACAACTAAATGCGGAATTGAGGTCAAGACAAGGCGCTATCACTTCTTTGGCTTATTTCACAACAGACTGGAGAGTAGAACTCAAAGGAGAAGGTGCTATTGACCAAGGTGGTCCACGTCGTGAAGTCTTCGATATGTTGTGCGATGAAATTATTACTTATGATAATATTTTCATCGAATCTCCTGCTTCAGCTGAATTCCACGAAGGAATTAAGATTCCGTCGCCAAAAGCAAACTACAGAGACTTGAAATACGCTGGAACAATCATGGCTGCAACAGTAAATCTCGAGGCACAACAGCCATTTAGACTCGAGCCTTTCATTTGGAGAATGTTGTGTGGTGAAGAAATGACAGAAAATGACATGTTCGAGATTGACCATGAACTAAAGAATTCTTACCACGCGATATTGGACGGATACAATGGAAAACTGAACATGAAATCTGTGATGGGAGATGTTTTGTTCTCATACACTTTCACACCGAAAATTGGTCAGCAACAGAGAGAAAACATTGCAAAACATATGGTCCAAGAACGTATGAAAGAAATGAAGAAAGCAATGGAACCATTCATGGCTGGTTTCTACACAATCATTCCAGAGAACCTTTGCAAGACAGTTCACGCAACAATCTTGGAATCAATTGTTTGCAAAGAAAGAGAAGTCTCCGTCAAAGAGTTCTTGGATCACACGGTTCTACATGGAACTCCTGAAAACAAGAAGATGTTTGTTGATGCATTGAACATGCTTTCTAACGAGAAGAGAATCAAATTGATCAAGTTCACAACAGGATCAACTTCTCTTCCAGTTGGAAAGAAGATGGATGTAAGAATTGTTTTCTCTGAAGATCAAGATAAAAATGACTTCAGAAATGCTCCTCTTCCTCATGCAGGAACTTGTTTCTTGTCTCTTGTTATGCCTGGCTACAAGAATGCTGAAGTCATGGCTGCAAAAATCATCACTGCTATCGAATACTCAAGTATTATTACTGATACTGATATCGATGCTTCGATGATTGAAGACAACGTTGACAGTCCAACTTATGTTGTACCTGCTAATAGACATTAAATATATAAATTATAGAATTTTATTTTAATTTGAATCCTCTTTTTCCATTAATATTCGCAAATAAATCTCTTTTTCCATTAATATTCACAAATAAATCTCTTTTTCTAACGCAATGTCTCTTTACCTTACTCCTTACCTTATCATTGAGTATAACTCTTTTAAAAAGCTTGAATCAGAAACCAAACGAAGGAAAATGAGTTTATTCTATAAAATTTCAAAATCTCGGGTCCAAATCCTCATAAAAATTGTGAGAATTGCATTCAATTTTGGACCCTAGATTTTGCGAATAGTAAAATTCTTAATAATAACTCAGTATCATGGTTAAAGTCTATAAATCTTGTATTCTCAAGGACTAACAATGTAAAACATTCCAGAGTTTGAATTAAAGAAGAAATTTGCTAATAAATTTTAAAATCATAAATTATTTTATCAATAATTTGAAAATCCTAACTTTTTGTAGATCTAACATATTAAAAATTGAACAAAAGTGTGGAAACTGAAAATTAAATACATTTTTTATACAAATTTAAACAAATTTGGTAGATGATACTTCTATTTTAAATAGTGAGATTCTATTTTTGCCATGTTATCTGAAAACCATATCATTAAGTTTTCTTTAGACATCATTTCATTAGATATTGGTATTTTGAGGTCATCTGATATTTTTTGTGCAGTCTTTCTAAGTTCTACTATCTTTTCCGATTGAATTAAGTTCATGGATTGTAGCTTTGCAATAATTTCAGAATTCCGTTTTTCTGCGTTCAGATCTTTTGTTACATAAGGGAGCTTCTGTTTCTCTCTATTTGAGAATGACTGTGTTATTTTCTGTAAAGACTTAATAACTGTGTTAAATACTGATGGATCTTCCATCATTTTCTGTCTTAATCCAGTATCTGCTATATCAATTGATTCATTGAGCATCTTTAATGTGACTTTACCATAGTATCCTTCTTCATTGACTTGCTTTCCTTTCTTTTCAGATGAAGTTCCTGGATTTTCCAACATTTTTTTATGAGTCTTCAAAATTATTGCCCTATGAATTTTAGGTGTAATAATGTGTGCCATGTTTTAATAAGGGTTTCGTTTTGCTAAAATTGTCACTTTTATAGCATATTTGTTTTTGGATGTTTTGCGAAACCAAAAAAAAAAAACTATGATATACAATGTGTGTGTAAAGAAAATACTTTATTTACTAGTTAAAAAATCATTTGGTATTGATCAAGTTATTTTTTCTGGATAAGATATTATATGGATAATTGAATAGAAAATACAATTATATAATCTTGTACTTGGTTTAATTAAGCTAATTGTCATCAGAAACTTGTAATTTTTATGAATTTCAGATTTTCTTTTCATTACTGCTTTTCTTAATAGGTCAAGTTCTTATTTACGTTATAAAGTATGATATTTACAAATATCAAGTTATCATGTTTTTTGAGAAATTATGAGAAACAAACAAAAATGAAAAAGATAGGAATAGCAATGAATAGTGATGTGGGTATAGAAAATGTAAGAGATATGAATGCAAAGCAATCAGTATTTAGGACATTGACCATAGATTTCGAAAAAAAATGCTGCATATTGAGCGAAAACTATGATTATATTATAAGGCTGTCGTTTAAAGCATAATGAAACTATTCCCTTTTCATTTTAATCGAATAAGATAGTAAAGATTTTTGAATTAGCTAGAAACTGATGAGATGTTTTCACAAATCAGATTTTTAATCTCTATAATGCATAATTCACTCAATATCTCAATTTTGATATTGCGAGATATTTTAGTAGTAGATGAGTGCGGGTTGTGTGACTTTTTTTGTAACATCTATATATAGACGATGCATTAAAATATTTATATACTAAACACATTAAAAAATTAACATTAATTTTAAAATAATTTATTTTTTTATCTTTTATAAAAGAAGCTATATATAGATGATGTCAGATATTCCGCGATTAATTAAACATTGTTTAAATCCTGAATGGGTTAAACTTCAATTTAAAAATGAAGATTGTGAATTATTAAATGAATATGAAAGCCAAAATAAGCTAATGAGGTATAAATATAATGATAAAGAATATTTAATTTCATGGAATCAATGGAGTCATAATCAAAGACCTCATAAACGAGAAGAAGAAAATGTGGAATCAAGTTTTGAATTAACAAAAAAGTATTGGAAATATAAAATTGATTCATATAAGAAACAAGATGAAAAAGCAGAAAGGGATACTAAAAACAATGTTTCAATGGATGACTATCAATACTATCACGATTTAATCCTTTCATCTAAATGCAAAATGTGTGGTAAAGCGTTTACATATGCTAATAAACCAACATTAGATAGAATCGATAATGAAAAACCACATACCAAAGAAAATTGTCAGTTAATGTGTTGTTATTGCAATGTCGTAAAATCAAATAAAGATGAAGATGTTCAACGTTTAAGAATTAATTTAAGAAATTATACATTAAAAAATAATTTTACCAATGACTCTAGATTCAGTTGAAGCGTATCACATCCTCCGTAATGAATTACTGGTGGTTTTATCAAATGTTTCAACATAGAGTTAATCTTAAAGGAATCACACACATTAATAAACTTTCATATAATCCAGAAACTAAAACTGTATCAAATGAGGACACTTCCAACATTATGACTCATTTCGTTGGTGTTGATTTTAATTCATTATATCCTTCATCATTTTCATCTAATCCTCATGATTTCATTCAATATACTGACCATAAAATGTATATGCCGGGAAGATTGAATGGTGTTATCATTTGTGATACAGCAACAAAGAAAGCAAAAGCACTGGGAATTATTAAGAAGAAAAATACTTTATTCGTGGCTGAAGTAAAGGGTCACATTGATGAAAAATACATTAATGATTACATAAACTTTTTACCGATAATAAGAAACTTAGATATTATCACAGATGAAAAAACAATTGGCAGTTTTATGTATAATTACATGAAATCAAACAATCTACCAGTTGACCAGAAACAAAGAAAATTAACTCAGTTAGCATCAACACACAACCAATATCAACCATTTTCTTCTTATTATCTTTGGTATCTAATAGACAGATTTCATTTTATCATTGATGACATTCAATCAATTTTAACATTTACTAAAAACACTTGTTTTAATGAATTTGCGAACGAATTTATGAATGAAAGACAAAAGGCTGAATTAGAAGGAAATAAAGGAAAAAGTTTATTTTGCAAGATTTCACTTAATGGATCATATGGTTACGATGCAATGAATACACAAAATTACGCAAAGACTAAAATAATGAATGCACAGAAGGCACGCGTTGCATGTATGTCAAATAAGTTTAAAAACATAAGAGAAATAGGTGAAGATACGTATCAAGTGATGCTTAAAGATAGATTTTATAGATGTGATACATGTTTACAAGAGGCATTCTTCACTTTAGATAACGCAAAATACTGGTATTTGGTTTTCATTTATGATTTTATGTATAAATGCTTGGATGTTAATCGTTTTCATTTCATTGAAGGTGATACTGATTCATCTTATTGGGCAATCGCTGGCGACCCAAATCTTCCTAACACTCAAGCATTTCAAGCAATTGTAACCGATAAAAAATTTTATGATAAAAACATTTACAAATTCGCACCTTTTGATTTCTTTTGTTTTAATGAGAAATTTAAACCTAAATTAAAGAATAAAGCTGAAGAAAAAGCACATGAGAAGAAGTTATTGGGTTTAGCAATTGAGAAACAAGGTGATAACATGGTTGCTTTATGTCCTAAGTGTTATACTTCATTCAACGGTTCAATTGATGGAAGTGATTTTAAAAAGATTGCACAAAAAATGAAGGGTGTTAGTTTACGACAAAATAAACAATTAACACCTAAAAATTATTTGGATATAATAAATGATAAAGTGATATTTGATGGTCAGAATATTAATTTACAACTTAAAAACGGGTCAATGACTCGCTTAACAATCGGTAAGACTGCATTAACAGGAGCACACACTAAGGCTGTATGTTGTGAAAATGGATGTTGTATGCCATTTATTTAATACAATTTGAAAACGTAGGGGTTGAGTCATGAATTTAAAATTTTATTTTTAATGAAATGCCACAAATGAGACAAAAGGAACCGTTAATGATGGTTGTGATTCTTGATCAAAGAGGTGAGCACCCTTAAACATTTATTTTATTTTTATATAAATGAATAGCGCAGATTTAAAAATTTTAATTGATGATTTAGTATTTAATCAAAATTTTCTTGATTATTATGATTTAAAAACATATCTCCAAAAATATGATAACAATATAACGGGCGATGATATGGAATATTATTATCCATATTATAAAAATGAAATTTTGAAATATCATGATAAAATAATTTCTAAAATTAAAGACAAAATTAAAAATAATGAATATGCAAAGGGAAAAACTAAATCACAACTTAAACAATTGAAAGATTTCAAAAATAAAGTATTAACAGAAGAAGATATTGATGAATTATATAAATTATATAAATTATATAATCCTGAGCCGCAAAAAACAAAGGTGCAAAACGCCCAGGTCATTCAGACCATAAATGAAGCACAAGCTTTAATTTATGATTCATTAGTTAAACCACACTCAGCCCGACTTTTAAATGAAGATCAACTTTTGGAATTCATCCTTCAACATAAACTCGAAGCGGGAAAGTATATCAAACCTTTATATACAGCATATTTAAAACAAATGAATAGAATACATCCAGAATTAATGAAGGGGGGAATGAAATCCAAAATCAAAGCAGATAAAATTAAACCACCTGCAACACCAAAACCTCCAACGACAGTACCGCCTCCTCCTTCAGTTAATCCTTCATCATTCACTTTATTATATCCATTTCAAACATTTAAGAAGCAAAAAGATTTTAAAAAGGATTTCAAGATATTAAATAAACCAATTGACCCAATAATTCAACCGTTAAAGGAAAAATTTAGTCGCCCTTCATTTGCACTATATCCATATTCATATGAAATTGATCATTTAGAATATTCAAAAGGAAACGTTACTTATTTATTTGCCATTAACATTAACACCAGATATTTATATTGCATTCCGGTGAAAGGGAAAACAGAACAGGAAACAAGAAGAGCTATTCAATACTTACTAGATCATGAAAGAGTAGATAATATAAGGGGTGATGGTGATAAAGGATTTCAGGCAGCTATGACTCATTATTTCCCACAAATTAATTTTTACTTTTCATCCTCTCCATTTACGTTTCATAATAAAATAGTTGATGTGGTAATGAGAACTCTTAGAGATGCGTTAGGGGTTAACGGTCAGATATACTGGGATGGAAATCATGACTCCATCATACAACAGTTAGTATATTATTACAATAATACATGGCATAGAACAATAAACATGAAACCAGTGGAAATGAAAAATGATATTTCAAAAGAATGGGAATATATTAGAAAGCAAATGGAAAGGTTGAATGATGTTAAACGTGAACAAATTAATTCAGGGCTCATGAATTTTAAACAAGGAAATAAAGTTTTAATTCATCTCGATTATGGAAAAACTGATAAATTAATGACAAAAAGAAGACGAAGATTTGACACAATAGCTGAATTTGTTAGATATATTAACGGCAATGCATTAGTTGAAGTTAACAATAAATTAATAGAAATTCCGATTTATTTTATTACTCCATTATATTTAAATAATATTTAATTTTTTTATTTCGTAAGAAATGAGTGACAACGAAGCATCCAAGAGTCCAGACAATGAATATAAAAAGAAACTAAACAGAATTAAATCAAAAATATGCTATTACAAAAAGAAGCCACAATGCGGTGGGGTTGAAAACGATAAAGAGAGGAAAGAAATAATCGAAAAATTAGAAACTTACCGTTCAATCCTTAAACTGAGTGAAGCAAAAATAAAAGAATTTAATAGAATAAATAAATTGATTGGAAGAGATGAATTTAATAAAGATGAATTTTTAAACTCAATCCAAATTTAATTTTTATTCCTCTTCGACAACATCTCTCTTTCCATCATTACTGCATAACCACATTTTCTCAATTTTAGTGGTTTGTTATTTTTAACATGTTCTTGCATCATTTTTATCATTTCCTCCCTTGTTATGATTCGTGGTAAATTTTGAGCTTGTGGGGTATTCATTTATGATAAAAATAAAAATTTGTTATCGTTTATGTTTTCATTAATGTTTTTAGGTTATTCAATAATTAATTATTTTTGAAGAACCGAAGGTGCTACCATGCTACCATGTGCTACCAGGTCATTTAACTTCTATGAAAAAGTGTGACAACACGACATTTTGACAACACAGCAGGATTAATGCAAAAATAAAAATTTGTTATCGTTTATGTTTTCATTAATGTTTTTAGGTTATTCAATAATTAATTATTTTTGAAGAACCGAAGGTGCTACCATGCTACCATGTGCTACCAGGTCATTTAACTTCTATGAAAAAGTGTGACAACACGACATTTTGACAACACAGCAGGATTAATGCAAAAATAAAAATTTGTTATCGTTTATGTTTTCATTAATGTTTTTAGGTTATTCAATAATTAATTATTTTTGAAGAACCGAAGGTGCTACCATGCTACCATGTGCTACCAGGTCATTTAACTTCTATGAAAAAGTGTGACAACACGACATTTTGACAACACAGCAGGATTAATGCAAAAATAAAAATTTGTTATCGTTTATGTTTTCATTAATGTTTTTAGGTTATTCAATAATTAATTATTTTTGAAGAACCGAAGGTGCTACCATGCTACCATGTGCTACCAGGTCATTTAACTTCTATGAAAAAGTGTGACAACACGACATTTTGACAACACAGCAGGATTAATGCAAAAATAAATTCCAATCATACTTTATAAAGCTAGACCTTCAGGTCTCGCCGCTTAGCGGCTCATTTACAGGTATTTCATCATCAGTAAATGATTCCTCATTATCGTTTGGTTCAACCTGTTTATATAATCCTTTCATTTCTTCTTTCAAAACATAATACCATGTTTGTTTACCGTCTATTCTTCTATGTTTCCTATCACATTTATCCTTAATACTCATTTGAAAGTTTTTGTCTTTCATGTCTGATGGTTTGCAGAATAGAGCATTTTCACACGTCATACCTGCACACAATTCATCATAATGTGTATTTATCCATACATCTAAAGGATTTGTTGATAATTCAATTAAATCTTGTTTGGCTTCAGTCATCGGTATGATTCGTACATTAAATGATGAAAGGTCATATTGCATAAAATACGTCAGTAAATTATCATAAAATTCCTTGTGCATGAATCCATTAAATTCTTGAAGTAATCAAATTGACCCTTGAATTTACCATTAACCCTTAAAACTACGTATCTTCTGTCTCCAACTTCAATTTTGACAGGGTAGACGTTGTTAGTTACGAAAATGAAGTTTGCAACGTTCTGTGCTGTTCTTCTGGGTTGATTCTTTTCATTAATTCTAATCTCATTATCCGTAATAATTGATTTCAAAGCGTTGAAGTTTGCGAGTCTGTCTTCACCACATTCTTGAGTTCATTAAGTACAAGAAACATTTTATTTTCAACTACTGAATTGAAATTACCCGTTAGCTCACTTATTTCAGTAATGTTTTTACATGAATAACCTGCGAGAAGTTCAGAAATAATGTCTGTAAATCTGTTTTTACCTGTTCCCTGAAGTCCTTTCAAAATAATTGCTGTTTCATTCTTGATTCCGGGATGTTGAATCATTGATGCAATCCACCGAGAAGGTATTTATACACTTCATCGTTATTATCACAAATGGCTTCTTTAATGAAATTCATAAACATCTCAATTTTTGAGTAATCAGGCTTTTCAAGAATGTTGTATTTATAACCTTGAAACGTTGAGAAAACATCTGGGGAATCAGATTTAAAGCAAACACCCTTAACGGTTAATGAAGACAATTGATTTAGTAGTACATCCCATGCTGTTATGGTTTTACCTTCTTCTTTAAATAATTTAATCATTTTGAGTGACTCTTTCATGTTTGACTGAAGAACAAATGATATTTGATTCATTTTGTCGTGGATATTATAGTCCTTTTGAATGAAATATTTATTTCCACAATCTACAAAACGGATTACACGTGATAAATCCTCAATTACTTCAGAACTGTTTTTATACTGATGATTTTCAGCCTTGCGTCTAATATCTGTTATCAAAAACGAGTCATCAAGTTTGATATCAAATGTTATTTTTGGCTTACGTAATAAAGGTAAAACATATTCATCATAATATTCCTTTTGATATAGTTTTAGAATCTTCACTAAAACAAATGGAGAAGTCATTAAATGTGCATATCTACTACGTGCTTTTTCAAAATTACTTTTTGCATTTTCTGTTAAACTGCAGAAGTTATAAACGTTATCGTATGCTTCATTAATTAAATGATCCGGTAACGAATTAATAGCTTGAAACAGTGTGAATAATGTTATTTCTTTTTCTAAATTCATGTTTCCACCGTCATTATGTACTTCAAAATCACAGATGCCATCAACTATGCTCTGAGCTAGTTTATCGTCAATGTTTACATCTTTGTTTTCATTCATGATAGTCTTTATTTCTTCATTCTTCTGTTCAACTCTTACCTTAATATTCAAATCATTTAATATATCATTCACTGTTCTAGTTAATGTTGAATCATAACTTCCACGAATGAATGAGTATGTATTGATTGGTTCTGTTGCATTCTTGCGAACTCTTGAATCAGCCATAACCACTAAAGAACGCTTTGAATCATCCATAGAAGTCATGATATCAATATCATAATCATTGCAGGAATAACATTTAATCATTCTGTTCGAAACTGCATAGAAGAAATTAGTGTTGCAATAAATGTGAAGACCTCCTGAAGCGGTTTTAACGATAACATCTTTATCCGAAAGTTTTGATAAAATGTCTTTTCTAACTGTTTCTTTAAGTTCATCATTGTACGATTTATTGATATCAACATCTATAATCGTTAAATTTGATATTTTATTTACTAATAAAGCCATACCAGTTTTCCTTCCTCTTCCTCCATCATGTTTGAGGTAGTTATGTAAATCAATCCTGTTTTCACCAATTCTTTCGTTGAGGGTTTTAGTTTCTGCCACAACTAATTCCTCAGCTAATGAATCAATAACTTTTTCATCAGAAACGATATAGTTGCTGTTGTTGTTTGTTGCTGTCATTTATCTAGGAATAAAAAATAAAAATAATTAATAACTAACTTTATTTTTCTGTCTTAAGGAAATTCATGAAAATTCATGGTTCAAAACTGAATATCATATAACCTCTTGAAAACGTTTAAACGAACTTGAACTTTCTTTCCTTCAGTATCCGTCAAAGTAACATATGCAATTCCTGATTTTAGGAAACAAACATGCATTTTTCTATAGTTAACTCCTGTATAGTAATAGAATGCGTCCTCATTCTCAACATAGTAGTAGAACTCTAAGTCATGCTTTCCATAAGAGTTTATTTCAATTGCTTCGTCAGATATTTCATCAACGAACTCATAAACTATATCACCATACTTGCTTTTATTTCTATTGTTTTCAGATCTAGAACACCAACGAAGGTTTGAGATTCTGTTGTCGTCTCTTTGATGGTTTATATGGTCCACACACGGTAAATTGTTCGGATTGGAAATAAAATGAGTAGCTATGAGAACATGTTTTTGGTACTTTTTGAGGTTTAATGTTACACAAATATAACCTATTCCTCTGTTATATTCATGTATAATTCTCTTGGTTTCTTTCTTCCTTATTTCAAAAGGCTCAGAACAGTGAATTTCATACTCTTCATCTTGTAAACATTCTTTCCATACATCTTGACCAACAAGTTCAGCGTACATCTGTCTTTACATACAAAATAAAATATATTTTTTTAAAAAACTAAAATATATGTTTATTTCGGGAAAATTCATGACAAAAACATTTACGAAGAAGAAGTCATGACAAAAACATTTACGATGAAGAAGTCATGACAAAACATTTACGATGAAGAAGTTTATTTCCTGCTGTGTTGTCAAAATGTCGTGTTGTCAGTAATTTTCATAGAAGTTAAATGACCTGGTAGCACATGGTAGCATGGTAGCACCTTCGGTTCTTCAAAAATTAATTCATAACTACCTTCCTCATTAATCCTGCTGTGTTGTTGTCAAAATGTCGTGTTGTCAGTAATTTTCATAGAAGTTAAATGACCTGGTAGCACATGGTAGCATGGTAGCACCTTCGGTTCTTTAAAAATTAATTATTTTTGAATAACTGGGAAATAAATTTACGTCAAATATGCAATTTATAAAATCTTATGTCGACAGGCTACGTAGCACAGTGGTCTAAGGTGGTGTTATGGAGGGGTCAGGGTCTGTGGTTCGAACCGCGACAGCGCCGTATTTTCTTATTTTCTTTATTTGTCTTGTTTGTCGTGAATAAAAAGTGTCACAAAAGTGCTCTATCTTCCACGGGAATAAATAAAAAATTTACTTTATTTCTTCTTTATTTCTTCTTTATTTCTTTGTTCCCGTGGAAGAAGGGTTTTGCTGTTTTTTCTCAGCCGAAATCAATGATTTTTTCATTTTTGGAATCCTTAGCGAATGAGGAATCTTTTCTCTCGTGGAAGCTTTGACCAAAAATATAATTTAGGTGAAGAGGTGAGATTTCACCTGTTTTTTCACCTGTTTTTATGGTAGCACTGAAATAAAATTTTGTTATCAGTTATTTTATCATCATTTTATTAACTTCATCTTTAGTTAATAATTTGAATGGATTCGCTAATGTTCCACCTTGAGTCACAACACCTGCCCCGGCTAATTGTGAAGAACCTGGGATAAGTACTCCATGAAATGATTTCATTGGTATCATTAATTTAGAAATAGTTGGCTTAATTAATTTGGTCATTTATGATAAAAATAAAATTGCATAATTTAAATTTTTTTTCTTTCTCATTTTCTCATCCTGTTTTGGTTTCAATAACTTTTCAAGTTGTTGTCTTGTCAGTAACTTTAATTTTAACTTTGGATCAAATATTGGGTTTCCATCTTTATCTCTTCCAATAACACCATATGGTAGAATCTTCATTTATACTAAAATAAAAATTTAAATTATGTCGTTTGCTCTTTTGGAGCTCCTAAAGTTTGTTTCACAAACATTGAGCGTTCATTGAACTCTATACCATGCGAATACAGTCATAAATGGTGGCATGTAATCTTTACTTTGTCCCGTTGTTTGTGTATATCCTGAAACGCGATGTGTATGGTTTCCTTCTCCCTGAGTGTCACTCCAGTAACAATTTATGGCAAATTTAACATCATCTTTAACATCATATCCTTTACCTTTTGTCATTCCTGACCAATCCCAATATCTATGCTTATGCCAACCTGCTTGAGATGTGCTTAAATCTATGTAGTGACTGTGTGCAGGTAAATTTTCACCTGTAATCGTTTTACTTCCCCCTGTTTCCTTTGAAGAGTTTGCACAATACAAAAACCTGTCGACTATTTGTTCCCATGCACCAACACCAAACATTGCTTGAGGACCTCTCACATCCATAGATGTATAAATAGAACCTACTGGGTTCATTAAATCAAACATATGAGATATTATAGGATTGTCTCTTTTGAACTTAAAATATAGTGTAACTATTTCGGGTTTCTTCTGGTTTGTGTCAGAATATTTTTTATAATATAATCTTATGTTTTCAGGGTATGTAAAATCTTGACTATAATATTTATTTTTGTCATCTGTATAATAATATACTATTCTCGTTTTTTCTATTGCATTATATCTTTTATATCTATAATATTCTAAATATAATGTTTGCTTTTTTGGGTCTACATGTGCGTCAACACCATAGTCATAATAATACGGTGCTGGAGCTACGTTAGACAATGTCATATCTACCATTTCATAAACTCTTAAATATTTCTTTTGTTCATCTCCATATAAGTTTAAGTAGCAGTTGTTGTCTAATGGAACTTTAACTTGTGTGCCATTATTCTTTATATAGCCTACATACATTTCATTGTTATTTTTCGGAATGAGTTTATACCGTATACCATTTCTTAAGGACTGTACAAACACCCATCTAAAATATTTATTTTCTTCATTGACAGAAAAGTCACCAACAATAGTTTCAATATTTTTTGTTCCTATCAAACTTTGGTATATTTCGTTAACATATTCCTTATCTGCCTTCTTCCCTAACTCATCGTTAACATATGTTTTATCTGCCTTCTTCCCTAACTCATCGTTAACATATTCCTTATCTGCCTTCTTCCCTAACTCATCGTTAACATATTCCTTATCTGCCTTCTTCCCTAACTCATCGTTAACATATTCCTTATCTGCCTTCTTATTTAACTCATCGTTAACATATTCCTTATCTGCTTTAAGGTCTAAACATCCTGAAACCCATCCTGTATCAGCTTTAGTTTTTAAAATCTTTGATGTCCGTTCATGATACCATTCAACCCTTTCTATAATTTCATTATCTTTTTCATCAACATAAACCAAATTTGCTTTCTTCATTAATTCACTATCAACCCTTTCTATAATTTCATTATCTTTTTCATCAACATAAACCAAATTTGCCTTCTTCATTATGTCATTTAGGAAACCTTTTATGAATTCCTCATTTAAATTAAATCTTCCAATCTTCAAAACTTTAGGAAATGCATTTAATGCGTAATATTTGTTCTTCTGGTGGAATTGATGTTATATCATCCGTTATTCCTTTAATTTTTGAATTCATAAATAAAATTTCTTTTATATTTGATATCACTGCACCACCTTTGCAAACGAATTCAAAATGGTCATTTTTCAATACTATCTCCAAATCTCCATATTTCAACCTTTGCGTTTGTTCTGCCGTCTTTGAATTATATGCATATGTGGCGTATGTAATGGTCTGTGGTTGTTGTTTAATCATTTTATTACGATTTAAAAATAAATATTTAATCCGTTATCTCATCAGCTATTTTTTCTATTTGAAATTGCCATAATATTTCATTCATAAATTCTAAATCACAATCAAATAGTCAGTTATTCTAAATTTAATATTTGATAAATCTTTTGAATGAAGAATAAATGAATTCCCGGATAATTGAAACGGATATGATAAAGAAAATATGTTTAAGTTGATGGATAAAATGTTTTGTATTGATGGGTAAGAGTTAGGGTCTAATGTTTGATGTGAAAATCTCATTGGGGTATTAACTTTATCACATTTGATTAAAATGAAATTAGAACCAGTGTCAGAATACAAAACATCCCCAACATCTTTTTCAAAATTTAATATCCCCAACAATGAACGAAGATGAGGAGTACAAAATTTAATTTTCAGCGGAAATTTAATAAGGTTATTTATTTCATCAAGTTCAAAAAGTTTATCAGGTTTTGATTTAAAATTTTCTTCATACCATACGATAAATGATTCATTTAAATAACTTAAAATCATGTTAATATCCCATTTCGTTATCACATTATTTATATACATATCATACGTTTTTAGGTCTACGACCCCGCCGCTATGCGGCTCAAGGTCATCTTTAATAAATGATATATAATCTGAAGGGTCTAAAAGAATGGGATTAAATTTACCACTCACAGAAACGAGAGTAACATTATAAATTCCGCTAACTGTTAAATTTAATTCACAGTTATTATTCGAAATAATATTGATAATTGACATTTTTTATTACGATTAAAAATATGGTAAAGCGTTATTTTCCAGTGATAAATAAAACTAGAATAAGATTACCTCAAGAATTCATAAATTCAACGAATAAGAAATTCATTCATGTTATAAATTTTAGTGTTTTCAGAAAATATGAGTCAATGTCATATTCATCATCGGGTTATATTTCACTTCATTCAAATTTAGTTCAATCAAACCCATATAATGACCATTTCATAAGATTTTCAGATGGTATTAAAAATGCAATTGATAGATTAAAATATGAACAGATTG